TTTGATCGTGTTTTCGAATCCCAGATCCGCCCGCTTTTTTTGACAGCTCAGTTTCGGTGACTGAGAAAATAGAATGTTTCAGGAATCTTATCAGACTTAAATCTATGCAGCAAGAGCCCCTGCTGATATTATTCGCCGATGGTCTTGGTGTTTTACCACATCATGGGGTAGTAAAATAATAAACCTTTTGAACCAGTATAATTGTACTCACATACTGGAAATCAGATGGGGCGTTACACGCTGTGTTGGGTGTATTAAAACGTTTTATTTCAGGGCACCCTTCGCTTTGGAATGATACGGGAAAATGTACATGTAAATAATGTACATACTTACAGAAAATATAAGTGTACACCTGTTGATTTCTATATTAAAAATATTTTGTATAGAGACTACCGCCGTATTTTAGCCAAGTTTCGATGAGGAAGTTTACCTTTGTTTGTTGAGACAGGCAGATATTCCAGGCCTCCTATACCACTATCGGAGAGGTGATATAAATATTGCGATTGTGATTTGGTGAAGGATGAATGTCACATTTGACTACAAAGCAGTTTTTATGAAGATTTAGGGTATGATTTATATTTTGCAGCTGAAGAAAACAACACACTTAGTGGAATAAGGGTCTCTGAATCCTCAAAGTGAGGAACAGCTAACTGCATTCCAGTCCCCCCAAAACTCCCGCTATCAGCAGGGGTCCTCTTGCCAGCTTCCCCGATGTGTCACATCTGATTAATGACCACAAGCTATTCTGTAGCAGCCGACATGTATGTGAGTCCAGAAAATGATTGTCTGCTTTTAAAATATTGATATTTGGTTATTTTCAACTACTTTCGAAACATTCAAATGTTCTGCAGACTTGTAGATAACCCATTTAAATTTAAATGTATTGGGCGTAACAAAAAGGCTTTATTAATGATTTCAAAAGCAGGCAAGACATATTACAAAGTATAACTCTTTTGCCATGAAACATTTATCAAGTCAGTTGTGTACGAAAATATCAAAAGTACAGTAGACATTGATGAATAATTAAAACAAATGTTCATAATTAACAAGTCAAGTGTTTTTTATATGAAGCAAAAACAGTATATACTAACTGGATTCAACATTTGACATAATTAGAAATATCTTTCAAGGGCTATAAGCGTGTTCATAAACCTGCAGGTGCAATGTACACCATGTTACTGCCCAGTACATGGGGTGCACGTGGTCTTCGGGTGACATTCATGTACGAGAAGTTCAGTTAAAACAAACTATATAGGAATAGTTTCATATTAGTTTTCCTTTCATGTAAATACCATAGTCACCCCTATTTCTTCCAACTTTGATGGTAAAGAGTATTTTAAACATAAATAAGTACAATGTAACAAATGTCATATTTGGGATGAGACTTTCTCTGTAAAGTGCAATTTCTAGTCCTTTTTAGAGTTGAGTCCAATATGGGACAAAATGGAAGTTTTGCAAATGGTACTCACAAGCTTCATGTAACAAGTGTATTGGAACGGGTACAACTTTGCAATATGTTCGCTACTTTTAAACCCACTAATCATAAAGTTAAATATTTTACCCATCACATTATTCTCAAAAAGGTTTGAGGAACCATTTTACATGTCTACGTTAGATTTTGAGGAAGTTATTGAGGCATATAATATCTCCATTTAATAATCTGAATCGGCAGTCAAACAGTTTTGACAGGGGGAGTTTTGGCTTGTGCCACTAAGTGAACAGTAATCTGATATGCGAAGGAGAGAAATTATTTAGTAAATGAATTCAAACGTTTTACAAAAGTTGCTAGCAGCAACGCTTTTCTAAAATTGTATTGAATTACCCCTATGTCTAGCTATCTTTTCTTTTTCTAACGTCGTTCAGTTGAGGAGTTTGTTATTGTTTCCTGTGAGTCTTCTGTTTTCGTAGCTAAATTTCCCACTTCTCACATTATATGTATGTACATATTTCGTTTATATTGAAGATAGTGTCTCATAAGCCCATGTCTGGCTGGACGCACTCCATACACCTTTTGTCTTATGTGCATCAATTTTATATTGTGCATGTTGTGCGTGTGACACTTTAATAAACATTTTACTACTTCTACTACTACTACTACTACCACTACCACTACTACTACCACTACCACTACTACTACTACTACCACTACCACTACCACTACCACTACTACTTCTACTACTACTACCACTACTACTACCACTACCACTACTACTACTACTACCACTACCACTACTACTTCTACTACTACTACTACTACTACCACTACTACTACTACAACTACTGCTATAACTACTACTACCACTACCACTACTACTACTACTACTACTACTACCACTACCACTACTACTTCTACTACTACTACTACTACTACTACTACCACTACTACTACTACTACCACTACCACTACTACTTCTACTACTACTACTACTACCACTACTACTACCACTACCACTACTACTTCTACTACTACTACTACTACTACCACTACTACTACTACTACCACTACCACTACTACTTCTACTTCTACTACTACTACCACTACCACTACCACTACTACTACTACTCTATGATCGTGTTTTCGAATCCCAGATTCGCTCTGATTCTCCTTCTTTGTCAGCACCATACCCGTGCTCGTGGGTTTCACCAAATTGGTATACGTTTAAATGAGTGAATGTGATTTTACGCCGCTTTTAGAAAAAAATCCTGCTATATAACGGTTTGGGACACCAGAAACCCATTATAAACTGCATTACTTTGGGCGTTCCTCCCACATGAAGCTGAAATACTGTTGAAAGCGGTGTTAAACCAAATTCGCTCACTCTTCCTCTTCTTTTTCTTGTATATTAACTCCCCGCAATATATTGCCCTGTAGCAGACGATGTGCACCGTCAGTCACCAGGAAGTACGTCAAACCGTTCCACCTGATGCTCATCACGGGCCGGTGTAATGCAACCCTCTCGTTGTTTCAGCGAACAGACGCGAGATCGCGGAACAGATTGCTGGCTTGTATCCTTGATTAGTTGTCCTTGTCCTATACCTTAGAGGGAAACTGTTTTGTGACAAATCGAATATCTCATTTTATAAAATATGCCAGAAAATAGATACCATCTAAATCAAAATCGAAAAACAAACGCTGCGAACTTTCTCTTGCATAGAAGGAAATCAGCCGAGCCTGCTGCCTTTAGATTGGCATACACTCAATACGTTTCATCAAGCAGAAACAATCCTACACCCAAATGATGTTTGCTCTGCCCTGCATGCGCTGCGGGTATTTTATGCATGTCATCGTATCCAAATTGCATGGATCGATGCTCATGATGTCAATCGCTAGATTGTCTGGCCCTGACTCGATCATGTTCAGGCCGAGGCGGTGCAGCTGGAATATTGCTGGGTGCGGCTCACTCACTCTTCGGGTAGCTTATTTGTTTATTTGTTGTTTTACGCCGCACTCAGCAATATTCCAGCTATATGACGGCGGCTGCATCGACCCACACAACTGAGATACGATGTCTTGCATCAACCAAGTCAGCGAGCACATGCTTACGATATAGTTGGAATCGTACAATGGACTTTTGACAGATTTTATATGATTATGGAAATGTTTGTGTCGCTTGTTTTATTGCAGACTAGATTATTTACAGGCCGCCGTGAAATAGCTGGAATATTACTGAATGCAACATAATCATTCATTGAATTACAAGTATTTAGAGGAAATGAATATAAAGATCTTGATAAACCATACTCCATATTTTCGACAAATGATTGAAATTAATTAAATCAGTATACTGCGTAATACAACTAACAAGTATGTGGAAATGAGATATGTGCATGTGTTTTGTATATATACATTCAGTAAACGTACATACTTTTAATATTAATTGAACACTATAAAGTCAATGGAACTAAACATTTTTGTATTTAATTTAAAGTCACAATGGCCACCTTCAACTTAATTCGCATAATCAATTTGTAATGACATGGTCTCGCACGGGGTATTCTCAGGACGACGACCCCTCGAATTTTAGCATTGAGAGTAAATAAATTTCTTAATGTTTCCTATGGCAATATATATTATTATTACAATACAATTATGAAAATAATATATATCTACAATTTTCTTTCTGTAATTACAGGTTGATGATGAATGGCTCCAGACAATTGCCGAACGGCCAACGCTGTGTCCAGCTCGGCGACTACGTCACCACAACCTGGGTTGAGACAGAGCAGGGGCCTTGGAACCATTTCAACAACGACGGCCCTCGCACCAATAACCACCTGGAGGGATGGCATGGACGCTTAAAGAAAGTCATCGGCAAAGCCCATCCCAACATCTTTGAGCTGATAAGATTTCTATGAGCTGAACAGCAGAAGACAGAGTGTAATCTGCTACAGTACCAGGCCGGCCAGCGTCTCCCAACAAAAAAGAAGAAGTTCTGTGATATACAACGCAGAATCGATCAACTGAAGACCAGACTGATCCAGAATGAAGTCAGCGTAATTTTCTTTGCTGACTCAGTGTCTCATCTTCTCAAACTGTCCTAATTGCCCATGACTTTTACGTCATCTTGTACATATACATTCTAATTATTTGTAAATAAATCAATATTCCACCCTTATTGTCTTTCTTTCGTTCGTTTCAAATCCTTTTCCACTTTTTTACTTGCTCGAGTTGTTAAAATAACACTCGATACCCATTTTTTAACTAGATTGGCGGATTAAAATATTCGCTGGACGACGACCTCACTTTTTGCTAGTTTGTTTTCATACGACACAGAGGGTCGTCGTCCTGAGAATGAACCGTCTCGCACCACGACACTGTCACGCATGACGAAACATGACGTAAAGGTTCGGTCAAGGGCACTCCACGTGCACAACATTTCCTCTAAATTTACTCCCGTCTGAACTGATAAAACACTGGACACTGATTGGTTAACTCCCGTGCGTGTCATGTTTTGATTGGTCCGCATTTGGTTGTCATAACTATATACAGTTTTTGAAACGCTTGATTAAGACCAAAGTTCAATCATAAAGTTGGTTGGTTGTTTGTCAGAAAAGTTGAAGTCCATCGTCACGTCAGATGAACTGCACCACAGCTATTAAGGTAAGCGTTATGACCTGTGTTAATCAACAGGGATTGCCTGAAAGTCCTGTTTGGCAGGGTCGGGCTACCGGGTTGAATAATAATAAACGAAATGCGCGTATCTAACAATTAATAAAGTGATAACTATTGACACAAACCGAGATTTAACGAGCGCTTTTGGATACCTAGAAACATATTTTATTTGCCAAAACTTTCCACGAAGGGGCTGAAGGGTTAATAAGAGAAGTAAAGAAATTGGACAAGAGTAATGTGGATGTTTTTCAATGGGAGCCTTAGCGTAGCTGACGGAATTGATGTGACGGCCATTGGGAAGTCTGTAGACGTTGTTTGAAGTGTTAGGGTTCAGGGAGTGGGATTCCAAAGCCTATTGACCACTAGAGTATTTTAGGGACCCATCCGTGTAGATTTGGTGCCATAAGCGCCTCCCCCATGTTTGGTTTATGTATTTAGAGGTTGAAGCCCATCTTTGCTAGTGTTGTAGTTTACCTTTGTATTTATGATTGGAAATGGTAGTTGAGGTATAAAGAGCTGTGACCGGGGATTACCGTTTTGATGTGTCTAAGCTTCAGTTCGTTTTCTTGTAATGTAGCTTATACTTGGTTTATGGCATTTGCTTACTTGGATGTGTTTTTTAATATGCGGTTTTAGTTTTTTAACATTATTTAGTAGTTTTTGCATTAGTTTATTTAGAACGGCGCCGGACGAGTAATTTAGCGAGAGTTGGTCCCTTCGGAGATCGAGGGGAGCTCTCCCGTTAGTGCCAGCAGGGCCTCCAGGGAGTGCCCGTGATTTAGTGTTTAGTTTAGTGTTTGGCTTAGCTTGTTTTGAAAGATTGTGGGATACCTGTGATCCACACTGGAGTTTTGACTGATTAGTGTTTGGTAGATACTTAAGAGTTGTTTTATTTTGTGTTCAAGTTGAACCACTTATTACTCTCATTAGCTGGAGCTCCCCAGCGCACCTTTAATTACCTTCGACATGAGCTTTCCAGATGAGATAAAGGTTGAAGATTAGCCCAAGGAATCTGGCTTCTGATTATAATTGTATATTTTGACCATTTCGAGTTATGATTGGGCTTCTTGCTGTATTTGGAGAACATGCCTATGGTTTTTTAGATGTTTAGATAGAAGCCCCATTTGGCTGACCAATTAACAACAGTGTGTATAACAATTTAGAGTAGTTTAGGTGCTACTGAAACTACCCTGCTACGGACCCAGAGAGCCCCGTCGTCTGTTTATGCCCTGAAGAGATAGACCAACCATCATTATATTGAATAGAGTCGGGCTATGTGTGTTACGTTGAGGTGTATCGTTTTCGAGTAGGGATCGGATGCGGCGCCATGTTATGTCTGTCTTTTAGAAAGCTGTGGATTATGTTTGCTATCATATCAAGTTTTTGAATTATACCATAGTGCCAGACCAGGTCAAATGCGTGAGAGAACCCAAGGAAGATTGCTACTGTATATTGATGTTGGGCTATGCCTATAGCGGCATCCTGTTGAAGCCTGGAGAGGTAGTCTATGGACGAACGACCTCCTCGGAAGCCGATTTGGTCCTGTGAGAAACTATCGTTTTGATTTAGTGAGTGAGTGAGTGAGTTAAAGTTTTACGTCCCCCAGGCAATATTTCAGCCATATCGCGACAAGACAAAAGTATACACTAATCAGAAATATATTTAGAGTGCATAAAAACCTGTCATCGAAGGACCGCACAATAACTAGATTGTCACAAATCGTTCTTAAAACTTGTTTGAGCGCATGTAAAAGAATAAACTATCAATTAACAGCACAATATTAAAAAGAATCTAGATCGCCAGCAACCAATGTTAGGCCACCTTACTGGGGACAGTGGGAACTTGCAATACTTCTGCTTCCTGCACGGTTCCCCACCAGCATTAATACCATTCTGGCGATGCAACTTTAGGCATCAATGTAAAATGACAAGTATACTACTTTTGAAATTATGGCATGCATAAAAATATTTTGAATGACACGGAACTTACATACCTTCTAAGGGGCAATACTTCAATACCACCTAAACCCCTCGTGTGTAGCACTACTAATGTGTTAAATAACAGTATGAACATCAAAACTTATCAATTGATTCAATTTCTTTTAAACGCCCAAGAATTAAGCGAGAGCTGATATTGTCAAAAAGATCTTTCACGGTTGAAATTTTGATATAGTTATCCCTTGTGATGGAAAAATGTCCACAGTCAAGCAGGACATGCTTGACCGTGGTTCTTACATCATAAGGGATACAGAACAGAGAATCATCTTTCAATAAATATTCATGTGTATATCTGCTGTGGCCAATGCGTCGTATAATGAACTCTTCAAATCTGGACTGACAACCCAAGTAGGTGTCACCAATAGTTGGTTTTATTGAATGCAATTTGTTTATATCTTCACTTCTGTTGCATCATATCTTTAATGTGACATCTAATTACAGGTATAATCACTGTATGGGATAAGAAGGGGTGTCACAGATTTGTTGAGCGCTGCCTTTGCAGCAGCAACGGCTATTGTGTTAACAATGATTCCGACATGACTGGGTAACCAACTAAAGACAATGTCATATTGGCCAGTGGCAAAATCATTAGATAATTCAACAATTTCAAGTGAAAGAGGATGTTTACATGACATATTGTTAATAGCCTGCAGGCACGAAAGAGAAAATATGATGAACTGTTTATGTTTAGATTGGTTCGTGATATATTCTAGAGCTGTTAAAATGACATTTGCTTCTGCTGTGAATACGTAGCTAGTATCTGGTAATCGTGAAGATATTGTTCTGGATCCGATGACAGTGGCACAAGCAACCGTGCCACCATCCTCGCATCCATCGGTAAATAAAGATTTTTAGGTGTCACATGTGTTTCTTAATTGATTGTATTCTTGTGTTGGAAAATAAGTTGGGTTGTTTCTGATTTCTTAAGTTTAGTTAGTGTTAGGTCTACCTCTGACTTAACCATTTGAGAAGGAGGCGATGACAAAAGATGGGTAGGATCTATATCTTGAAGTTTAATATTAGAAGTAGAAATGGCAGATTTGATTCTTATTCCCAGTAGTGAAATAAGAGATGATTTTTGAGTGTAAATATATTCGTAGAAAGGATTAAATAGGCAATGAAAACCTAGATTAGTCTCATTAGAATATAATTTATTGACGTACATGTATTGTAAGGATAATTTTACACGGTGTTGCCCAAGTGAAGGCTCATCCGCCTCCTAGTACAGACTATGTATAGGAGAAATTCGAAAGGCTCCAATACAAAACCCCAGGCCTAGATGAAGGATAAAAATAATTTTACATGCTCTACCATAGATGATGGAACCGTAATCAAGTTTTGAACGGATCAGGGACCTGTACAAGTGCAAGAGGGCTGTCTGATCCCCTCCAATATTAGAATTAGAAACGACTTTCAACACATCGAGTGCCTTCAGTCATATGGCTTAAAGTTAAATGGCTATAAAGAACTTGGACTCCTTTACGACTTCGATATGGGTGCCATTCAAAAATAGTTCAGGGTCCTTATGTGGCTTATATTTTCTGCAGAAATGTAAACAATTGGTTATTTATTTAGAAACTTTAAACCCGTTTTCAAGGGACCACTTGTGACTTTTATTGAGACAGATTTGTCACAGCCATTTGTATGCATATTTATTATCACAACAAGAAACATTAAAATCATCAACGAAAGGTGATCCATCAAGTGAATCATTTAAAACCTATTTATTTTAATTCTAAATAATGTGACAGACAAACTACTGGCCTGTGGGATACCCTGATACTGATTATAATGACGAGACAAAGTTGAATCCACTTGGACTTGAAATTGCTTGTCTGTTAAAAACTGTCATATAACATGAGGTATACGACCACTTGAATCCCCAAACATGTAAATCCTTTTAAATGCCATGCTTCCAGGTGGTAGCGTATGCTTTCTCAAGATCACATAAATTGATGCCATGTGTTGTTTATTTTCTGTAACATTTTAAAGACAGATTTTCTTCGTACTAAATGATGAAAAGTACTAATATGTTTCAGGAAACCACATTGAATATCTGTAATAAGATTATTGGTTTCCAAATACCAAACTAATGTCTTATTTACCATTGATTCCATGGTTTTGTAAACACAACTGGTTAAAGATACAGGGCGGATTTTTTAGAGAATGTACGATCCCGGCCAGGCTTTGGTTTGGGGACTACAATTGCATTATGCCACGAAGGAAGAAAATGTCATGAAGTCCATATTTGGTCAAATATATCTAAAAGTTTCTCAAGACATGATTCGGACAAATACTTCCGTATGAAATAGTGGACATCATCATCACCCGCTGAAGTATCAGCTTGCTCAAGAGAAGTATGTAATCTCTGAACCTCAGGGACATAATTTGATGATGAAGAGGTTTTGGTTAGAGTTGTGCCAAGTTTATTTGCGCTCTAAGATTTATCAGTTATTAATTGTCACCGTCTTTAAGATGGTGTACAGACGTTTTTAAACCTTTGACTTTTATTTTTTAACCACGTTCCTCGTCTTGGACATAGGTGTGCGTGAATTAGTTTTGGAGACATAGTTCCTCCAAGATTGCCTCTTATTTTGTTTATAAGCACGCCTTGCCTTGGCACAAGTAATTTTATTCAAAATTATTCACGTTATGAAATGTAGGATGTTGGCGGTAATATTTTCCTGCTTTCTTCCTTCACTCTCTTGCTTGTTTGCAGTCGTTATCAAACAAATGTTTAATATGAGGATTTGCAGAGTACTTGTTTGGTCAGTAATTTCTTTTATTTGAGTTGAAAACAACTTGTTCGGATATGGTACATTAAAGAAATTGTCAGCTTCAAAGTTCTCAGCACGTAACATTTCATACAAGGACCAATTGGCCTTCGTAAAATGTCACCGTGGTGAAGAGGGGCATCATTCAGTTTTACAGCTGTTAGGATAGTTTGGAACTAAGGGAAGTGATGTCATGTACTGACCATTCAAATTCATTGTAAACACCTGAATCTGTGAGGGACAGATCAAGGGCAGAATATGTTCCAATGGCAGGATGTAAATAAGTACGTGAATCGTCATTGAAAACACATCAATTATTGTCAGAAATGAAATCTTCAAAAGCGTTCCCCTTATTGTTTGTATTCGCACTTCCCCATAGAGGGTTACACTAAATTAAAATACTGTGGTGTGTGAAGTCGATGAATATATATTTTAGTTCAAGGTTTTGGTGTGCAAATTCGACAAGAAACATACGTATCTTTACACATCTTAGATTTGGTCATTTGATAAGCATTGCTTCATATTTAGGTGTTTGAACTGAACAACACATCGTTTTACATGTGTTCGTATGTATGTTTTTTCCCAGATGGAGAGATGTCTCGTGTTTGGTCTGATCGTCATGGCGGGTGTCCTCTCTGTCGAGGGTGAGTAAGTCCATCTTACAGTGGAACCCTGTTATTCCAGTTCTCGTTCTTCTGGACACCATCATCGTCAAATATACAGTTATTACGTGTCTTGATGTGAAGTGACTTGGTGTTCGACATAAAACGTAAACACAGATCCATCATGAACTTTTCCAAATGGTTCGAGATTTCTGTAAGTTGAATAAATATGGACATTAGAACTTGAAAAAGTATGTTTCCAATGAAAATTAACATCTTAATCCGAGATGGTGTTTTTTGTCTTGTCTTTTTAGTGGTTTATGTTTGCGTGAAGAGTGCAATATTTGCATCTTTTACTTTTTATACTTTTGAGGTCCTGCCAGAAATTTCCAGATTTCATTTTACTAACATCAAGTCACTTTCTTTAATTTAATCACACATATGAATATCGAGGGAATAAATATATATCCCCTCGATATTCACAAATATGAGTGGCTTGATGTTAGTAAAATGAAATCTCGAAAATTTCTGGCAGAACCTCAAAAGTATAAAAAGTAAATATTGTACTCTTCACGCAAACATAAACCACTAAATATATATATATATGTTTAGTGCTTTATGTTTGCGTGAAGAGTACAATAGTTCCATCATGACCACAACCACAACGCAGATTTTCGAACGCAGCTTTCCAAATCATGCATTGTTGAAAACGTGCAAAACATGATTTTGAGACATTGGTCCAAATGCACGTGTGTGATTGTGGCATAAATACCGACGTTGGACAGAGCAGGCAGTCAGTAAGCAAAACACCACCAAGAATATGCCCAGACTTACACAAGCGCAACGAGACAGAGCGATCGGTATGGCCAATATGGGGGCTACTCAACGTGCCTACCGACCTTTCCGTGGAATGGCCTTGACCCGTCTACACCGTCAACGCAGACTGCAATGGGCACGAACTGTACGTCGGTGGCAGCGACGTGATTGGGCGAGAGTGCTCTTTACAGATGAAAGTCGGTTCCGTCTGTTCAGGAACGATGGCAGAGTTCGAGTTTTTCGACGAAGGGGAGAGCGACTTGCGCCAAACTGCCTTAGAGAAGTTCACCCGTTTGGAGGTGGAGGCGTCATGGTATGGGGTGGCATTTGTGACCAGATTACAACACGGCTGGTTATCATCCGAGGAAACCTGAATGCTCAGCGATACAGGGATGAAGTGTTGAGACCTGTTGTGGTGCCCTTTATTCAACATCAGCCAAGAGGATTAATTTTGCAACAAGACAACGCAAGGCCTCACACCGCCCGAATTGTTCAAGACTACCTGAACAACGTTAACGTCAACGTATTGCCCTGGCCACCTTGTTCTCCAGACATGAACCCCATTGAACATCTCTGGGATCATCTTGATCGTCAGCTGAGACATGTACCGCCTCCAGCGAACCGACAGGAACTTGAACAGACTCTATTGAACTTATGGAACAGGATTCCTGTTGACGTTATCCGCCGACTGACGACGTCAATGAGGAGGCGTGTGTTGGCGTGCATGGATGCCCAGGGTGGTCACACACGCATTTGATGACGTGTTACCTGACTACTGTGTCATTAATGGACTCTTCATGCACTTTTTCAATGAACTCTGATTTGTGTAATTTTTAATTTGGACCTCTTGACCCTTTCTTTGTGTATTGCGGAGAATGCAATATCGACATTACAGTGCATTTTCGTTCTAGTTCATTGAAAATGATTTCTGTTTATAACTTAATCATCATAAATCTTACATATGCCTTTGTTTTTGGTGTTTGGTCAAGTGAAGTCTGTGAAAACTTTCTTTTGCCCGGTAGTTTATAATTGGCAGGACCTGATCGTCTTGAGTACAGAGAGGCAATGTGTAGGCTTTACCCTGCGTATAGGAAAGCACTAACCCTAGTCTGCGGTGTTTTATTGTATGATAAACAGCAACATCTCGTCGTTTTTTTCTTAGATAATGAACTACACTCATCTTATCAAAGGGCAAGGTCATTTGCACACGTCCCTCGGATCACGTGTACTATTTTTGTTATGATAAATGCATTTTTGGTTCGAGAACATGCATATTCTATATTGTGTACGCATTGTTTATTTGTTTTTCCAATTTCTTTTTTCAAGGTGCAGTGTTCATAGACCTGTGTAATTCGACTTCTGGCGAGTCTGGTGGAAGTCAAAGTAACACCCAGGAATCTACGACTATTGTTGATTATACGTTTGGGCCGTTCAATGAAAACTCGTATGAGCTTGACTACTTTGGGAACGATCCGTTTGTAGTCCGATGTCGAATTGTTCCAGGTGGACCGGATGTTCGACTGGGTGGCGCCACTGGTAAGCTTAGAACTTCCAATTTTTTCAGCCTCTGATAGCAATGTGTGAACATGTCTCTATTCAGTCCATAATCACAATGATTGTCGATCGCCTCCTAGATTTAGTGGTCATAGCTCGTGGCCGGAGATCGGAAGGTTTTTTGTTTAATCCCTGGTCACATCATATCAAAAGACATTAAAAGATTATACGTGTTGCCCTACCTAACGTTAAGGAAATAAAACAAATACTGGTCGGCTAGGCGTCAGAAGACTGTGTCTGAGTGGGGTATTTATGATAAACTGCGTCGATTTAATTCAGTGGGTTAGCACTAGTACAAGCGCCCCAAAACATACATGCATGTACGTCGCCAGAAAAGTGCAATGATCTTGATCGCGACCTTAAAACCCAATTCATCTAACCATTGATTGCGTTATCATGTGTAGACAGGGGTGTGGTGGTGTTTAGGAGGTTTAGGGTGGTGACGGGACGTATAGGGTGGTGTGGTGTGGTAAGGTGGTTCGGGCTGTGTCAGGTGGGATTTGGTGGTGTTGCGTGTGTAGGTTGTGTAAGGTGGGTTGGGCTGTGTCAGGTGGGATTGGGTGGTGTTGCGTGTGTAGGTTGTGTGAGGTGGTTCGGGCTGTGTCAGGTGGGATTGGGTGGTGTTGCGTGTGTAGGTTGTGTAAGGTGGGTTGGGATGTGTCAGGTGGGATTGGGTGGTGTTGCGTGTGTAGGTTGTGTGAGGTGGGTTGGGCTGTGTCATGTGGAATTGGGTGGTGTTGCGTGTGTAGGTTGTGTGAGGTGGGTTGGGCTGTGTCAGGTGGAATTGGGTGGTGTTGCGTGTGTAGGTTGTGTAAGGTGGGTTGGGCTGTGTCAGGTGGAATTGGGTGGTGTTGCGTGTGTAGGTTGTGTAAGGTGGGTTGGGCTGTGTCAGGTGGAATTGGGTGGTGTTGCGTGTGTAGGTTGTGTGAGGTGGGTTGGGCTGTGTCAGGTGGAATTGGGTGGTGTTGCGTGTGTAGGTTGTGTAAGGTGGGTTGGGCTGTGTCAGGTGGAATTGGGTAGTGTTGCGTGTGAAGGTTGTGTGGGGTGGGGTGGGGTGGGGTGGGGTGGGGTGTGTCAGGTGGAATTGGGTGGTGTTGCGTGTGTAGGATGTGTGAAGTGGGGTGGGGTGATGCTTGTAGGTGTCGTATATTTATTATATACGACAGTTCGTTGCAATATATCATTGTCTCCTGGGTCCTACCTTCAATGATATTGAATAATTAATGAGATAACTTTATACTGTAGCTTCCAACAACAATAATTTTCTCCTTCTTCCTGGGTGTAGTGTGACTTGTCGCCATCTTTATCAACAGTCCAGGAATATCACGACGGGGACACCAGAAACGACACATTGTATTCATATCGGCGCGACGAGCAAATAGTTTAACCACGAACCTACCTCACCGCACCGACGCTGTTTTGAACCCAAATAAATTGTGTCTCCTTTGTTCATAGCGAGTGCATGACATGTAACAGGTCTGTACGCTTTTGTTGACAGATGCGCCATTAACAGCGTCAGCTGTTGGAACTGGCATTGTTTACTTAGAGCCAACGAATGAAGTGTATGTGGCCATTACATTTGACGACACCTCACTGAATGGGATTTATGCCTTCAAAAGGACCGGCTTTCCGGATATCAGGCTGGTCTTCCCGTATGATGGCCCCACTGGACAGCTCTACCTATCTGGAGAGTATGTAGATAACGTATATTAGGAAATGATCCTTGAATCCGAGAACTGATTCTCACAATCACTTTTGTCTTTGAATGTATGTTGAGAAAGATGAGGTTTCCATGGCAACTAGTTTGACATGTGCTTTCTTATTGTTTCCGCATGATGTCAGCCTCACACAAGACCTCACATGGAGCCGTTGTGGGACATTTATATACTATTGACGACAGACAGGAAGGCGCCTCAGATATTTGCTCTTGGTTCGACCTTCTACTGAAAATGTACAAATGAACGTTATAGAATATCTAGCGTCCTCATTTAAATAAGCATAACTGCCAATTTGTTTTTCTCAGGCCTCCGTCCTAAGCGTCTACAAACCCAATTCAAGAACTCTTTTCTTCTTGCAGTTTTCTGTATATGGTTGATGGTCTGAAAGTCCTCAGGATCGCTGATGGCGACAGTTCATGGACTCTAGTAACTATGTGGCCTTTAGTTCCCATTGGGTTTGCAGTTCAAGATGATGGTTAGTAGGATTGGGGTTAATAATAACAGCAATCAATCAATCAATCAATCAATCAATCAATCAATTGATGAACATTGATGCTTAGTAAACAACCTGCACTACCAAGGTGTATAAGTATATTAAGCTCAAATAAGTATTATATAAGCAGCCAAATGACAGTCCCATCTGATTTGAGATTATTTTACCACCTTACATTTTCCAATATTACATTGGTCGGACGTACAATACGCAGCTGAGTCTGAACCTGAGGAAAGCTACAACCAGAACTAACATCTCCACAACAGGAACATTGTGACCACTTATTTCTAGTTGTGTCGCCCTTGCGACAATCTTGCGTAAATGACCGAGTTCATTCAATAATGGCTGCCCTATGTGTCCATGCTACAGGTACAATGGCGTTTTGCGAGTCATCGGGTGCCCTGTGGCTGTACAATCCAGGAACATTTTTCTTCAGACAGGTGAAACAGCCAAATCCTGTGTCCTGTGCATCCCTCGAACTGCACAACGGCCTTATCTACGTCGCAAGCAAGGGCTCGTCGTAAGTTTGTTTGTTTGTTGTTTAACCCCGCAATATTCCAACGTAGTCTGGTGTGGAACTCACCAGTTTGAAATTAGTGCCGTAATGCTTGCGAAAGCTGCTTTCTGATTGGCTAAGGTCGACTGCTTGTTTTGACCGGTCAAAGTTCTCGAAAGATTGTCCTGACGTGACTTGGAATAGGATGTTCTTTGTTTCGCGAGAACTAAAATGTGATTTGGAATGGGATTGAAATATTACCTTGCCTCAATCATTTGTTTTTGGACTATTTAGCTGTATAAAGATGTTTTGTTTCAGAATGGTTGAGGTTTTCAACCCTTCTGCTGTTGGAACTGATGACGTCATGCCATTCAATTTGAACACGTCAACAACATGTCCATTACTTGTGATAGACCCTCGGTTCTGGTATGAAGTGTTTTAATATGGGTAGTAAAAAGTTTGGCTTATAATTAATATGAATCCATTAATAATCTTTCGACAATTGGTTTATGTCTAATCAAGAATAGGTTTGGTTTTGCAATGACAATCAATATCTCCCAAATCATAATTTATTGTTTCTGCTGTGACGTTCAATAACACATCAAAACAGCTCATATGGTGTAAAATTGATACTTATACATGTATCGTATATTGTCAATACTTCACCGTTAGTATACACTATGTGCCTCTATCATCGGTGAATACGTTCGGCCGCCATGCGATCTAATAGCCGCTCGTCAAACAATCAAATGTCCCCTTTGTCAAACAATGGAGTAGGGATTAAAAAGGTCACGCCCATATCCAAATGGGACTGTCCCAAACTGCATATATTAATTTGAATAAATTTGGTATCGGTGGGAAGTTTTTGATTATTTTAGATCTATGTATGGCAACACCAATTTTTGTGTAAAATATTTTCATACCAACAGCGATATTTTTTGGAAATACTGGATTAATGCAAGGGGACATTTTATCGCATCTGTTATTTCGTTTTTATTGAGGTAATACCGTCAGTATGACAACCATACGCTAATCTATAGATAAACAGATACTGCTGTTGGTCAGCAAACAGTTTCAAATAAACAGATTAAGGATGGCAACGATAAAGGGAATCAGTGTGTGTGTGTGTGTGTGTGTGTGTGTGTGTGTGTGTGTTTGTGTTTGTGTGTGTGTGTGTGTTTGTGTGTGCGTGCGTGCGTGCGTTTGTGTGTGTGAGAGTGTGAGTGAGTGTGTGTGTGTGCCTGCGTGCGCTTGTGTGCGTGCTTGTGCGTTTTTAACTTCAAATCTGCATTCGTTTTTTTCAGATCGTGAACGGACACCACGTCATCAGAGAGTGTAACCATCACTACAGACACACAGTTATAAAAACAACATGTTTTAACTATACATGATAGTTGTTATTTTTCGTCACCAGGATTGAGAAACTGATTGACGAATTACTAAAAATACCATTTGTTTATTTAACGCCGAGTTATATTTAACGCCGCTTTGAACAGTATTTCAGTTAAATCACAATATCCGCATCATCTTGATGGTGCAGGAGCCACTGCTATCAACCCTATTTGATAGTTGTTGATTAACACACGCTGCTGATATAGTCATATTCGAACAGTGGACTGTTACAAGATATTTCTCATGTTTTTGGAAAGATTATTGTCGCATTTATTGGCTGGTTTAACACTTTTTTTAAATGCAAGGATGTAGTGCTGAAAAGCCAAGTATCATAATCAGGGCAAATTTGGAATTCGAACCCAGGTCCTGGGGATTTAACTCAGAACAGCAAATTACAACACCCAAGTCGACTTGGCAAACGATGATCTGTTGGGAGAATACAAGTAGGGGATGTTGTAATGATCAACCATCTATGTTATATAAAGTAAGTCTTAATTGGTATGGTAGTCTCGTAATAGAGCTAGCTCTACTGTAGTCATGTTTATTTGTCAACCCGTGTCCTTTTCAACACATGTCCCCTCCACCCATGACCCATGCAGCAATACTCCCCGCACATGAGCCTCGTCCATCCATCCCCTATCCACCTATGCCCCATCCACCCATGTCCCATCGACCCGTGACCCATCTACCCGTGCCCCATCCACCCGTACCCCATCCACTCATGCCCCATCCACTCATGTCCCGTCCACCCGTGCCCCGTCCACCCGTGTCCCATCCATCCATCCCCTTGTCCACACATGCCCCATCTACCCATGTCTCGTCCACCCGTGCCCCATCCCCCCATGCCCCGTCCACCCGTGTCCCATCAACCCGTGTCCCATCCATCCATCCCCTATCCACACATGCCCTATCCACCCATGTCCCATCCACCCGTGCCCCGTCCCCTATCCACACATCCCCTATCCACACATGCCCCATCTGCCCATGTCTCGTCCCCCCGTGACCAATCCACCAGTACCCCATCCACCAATGTCCCGTCCGTCCGTGCCCCGTCCACCCGTGACCAATCCACTCATGCCCCATCTACCAATGTCCTGTCCACCCGTGCACCATCCACCCATGTCCCGTCCACCCATACCCCGTCCACCCGTGCCCCGTCCACCCGTGCCCCATCTACCCGTGCCCCATCAAACTATGCCCCATCCACCCATGTCCCATCCACCCATGCCCCGTCCACCCATGTTCCGTCCACCCGTGCCCCATCTACCCGTGCCCCATCAAACTATGCCCCATCCACCCATGTCCCATCCACCCATGCCCCGTCCACCCATGTTCCGTCCACCCGTGCCCCGTCCACCTGTGACCCATCCACCTATGCCCCATCCACTCATGCCCAATCCATCCATGCCCCATCCACCTGTGCCCCTACCACCCATGTCCCGTCCACCCGTGCCCCGTCCACGCGAGACATGCGTGGAAGGGGCACGGGTGGTTGGGACATGGGTGGAAGGTGTGGGAAGTATTGGTTGATGGGACATGGGTGGATGGGGCAAGGGGTGGATGGGGCATGGGTGGAAGGGGGGGGGGGGCATGGGCGGATGGGGCGCGGGTGGAGGAGACATGTGTGGGTGAGGCACGGGGTGGACATAAGTGGATGGGCACGTGGGGGTGGGGGTGACATGGGTGGACGGGGCACGGGGGGAGGGGACATGGGTGGACGGGGCATGGGTGGACGGGGCATGTGGGGAGGCGACATGGGGGGAAGTGGCATGATTGCGGAGAGTATTGGTGGGTGAGGCAGGGGGGGGAGTGGACATGGGTGGATGGGGCATGGGTGGAGGGGGCACGGGGCACGGGTTGACTGTACATGGGTGGAAGGTGTGGGGAGTATTGTTGGATGGGTTTATGGGGCAAGGGATGGATGGGGCATGGGTGGAAGGTGTGGGGTGCATTGGTGGATGGGGCATGGGTGATGGGGAGATGGGTGACGGGTGGATGGGGCATAGGTGGAAGGTGTAGGGTGTATTGGTGGATGGGTCACGGGTGGAGGGGAGATAGGTGGATGGGTCATGGGTAGAGGGGGCATGGGTGGAGAGTTGGGGAGTATTGGTTAATGGGGCACGGGTGGATGGGGACATGGGTGGAAGGTATGGGGTGTATTGGTTGATTTGGCATGGGGGGAGGGGACATGAACGGGTGGGTCACGGTTGGACGGGACATGGGTGGAGGGGTTGGGGAGCATTGGTGGATGGGGCACGGGTGGATGGGGCACGGGTTGAGGGGACATGGGTGGAAGGTGTGGGTTGTATTGGTGGGCTGGGCACGGGTGGGGGGGGTGGGGGGCATGGGCTGGTTGGTCACAGGTGGACGGAACATGGGTGGATGGGTCACGGGTGGATGGGGCATGGGTGGAAGGTGTTGGGTGTATTGGTGGATGGGGCACGGGTGGAGGGGACATGGGACGAAGGGTTGGGGAATATTGGTGGATGGGGCATGGGTGGATGGGGCACGGGTGGATGAGGACATGGGTGGAAGGTGTGGGATGTATTGGTGGTTAGGGCACGGGGGAAGTGGCATGATTGCGGAGAGTATTGGTGGGTGAGGCAGGGGGATGGGAGGGGACATGGGTTGGCGGGGCACGGGGGGAGGGGACATGGGTGGGTGGGGCACGGGTGGAGGGGATATGGTTTGATGGTGTGGGCTGTATTGGTGGATGGGGCACGGGGGGGGGGGGGAGACATGGGTGGAAGGTGTGGGGTGTATTGGTGGATGGGGCACGGGGGGGGGGGGGGGGCATGGGTGGAAGGTGTGGGGTGTATTGGTGGATGGGGCACGGGGGGGGGACATGGGTGGAAGGTGTGGGGTGTATTGGTGGATGGGGCACGGGGGTGGAGGGGACATGGGTGGAAGGTGTGGGGTGTATTGGTGGATGGGGCACGGTTGGAGGGGACATGGGTGGAAGGTGTGGGGTGTATTGGTGGATTGGGCACGGGGGGGGGGGGGGGGGCATGGGTGGAAGGTGTGGGGTGGAATGGTGGATGGGGCACGGCGGGGGGGGGGACATGGGTGGAAGGTGTGGGGTGTATTGGTGGATTGGGCACGGGGGGGGGGGGGACATGGGTGGAAGGTGTGGGCTGTATTGGTGGGTGGGGCACGGGTGGGGGGGGACATGGGTGGAAGGTGTGTATTGGTGGATGGTGTCATGGGTGGGGGGGGGGGGGGGACATGAGCGTTACACTCACCTAAGGCGCTGCAAATCTGATGTGCAATCTGCAAATGTGAGTGAGTGAGTGAGTATGGTTTTACGCCGCTTTTAGCAATATTCTAGCAATATCTCGGCGGGGAAACCAGAAATGGGCTTCACACATTGTACCCATGTCGGGAACCCGTGTCTTCGGCGTGACGAGCGAACGCTTTAACCACTAGGTTACCCGGCCGCCTCTATTGCTGCATGTAACTGTAACTATAAAACATCAATGCCAGAGAATAACCAGTGTCGAATATTGCCCAAACAGATTCTTTTGGGCGTGAAAGGCACATGGCGGTGAAAATGACATTAATGGATGGCTGACAGGGGTTCTAAAACAATAAGTCACACACAGCTGTTACATGCGGGACACATCTAGCAATCGCGATCGTGGATCAAGCAGATCTAGACATTTTAGTATTATCGGTAGACAGCCTGCGTATACCGCGCACGCCCAAACCATAAAGCAAGTGACATATATTATTACAGAAAAAACACCTTTACCAACACGGCTCATCTATGTCGACATGTGACTTATGCCCACTCGGGGCCCAGCTGAAGCCTTTGGACCAATACGAAAGTGTCCGCAAAGGGCTACCCAGTTAGGACCAAGTTCCCAGGCCACATCCTAGTAAAGGGTGCCTGTACATGAACGATCTAGTACGTGAGCCCATGTAAATCTACTGAGAGATTATAAGTTATGTAAAACGCCGATTTGGACTAAACACATGTGACAAAATGTCTGATTTTAGAGACTTACAGAAACAGTATCTCTAAAATTTGATCACGAAACCCTGACCAAAGCTATTTTTCTGGGGAGATAAAGATAAAGGCAAGGCTAAATTACAGTAAAATATTCACCCTGGGTCACGGATTTGCTTATGGCTGTATTTTATGTGTGAAGAATTAGCCATTTCCACCTATGTTTGCCATTGTTTCACGTTAGGCAACTATGTTTGCCATTGTTTCACGTTAGGCAACTATGTTTGCCATTGTTTCACGTTAGGCAACTATGTTTGCCATTGTTTCACGTTAGGCAACTATGTTTGCCACTGTTTCACGTTAGGCAACTATGTTTGCCATTGTTTCACGTTAGGCAACTATGTTTGCCATTGTTTCACGTTAGGCAACTATGTTTGCCATTGTTTCACGTTAGGCAACTATGTTTGCCACTGTTTCACGTTAGGCAACTATGTTTGCCACTGTTTCACGTTAGGCAACTATGTTTGCCACTGTTTCACGTTAGGCAACTATGTTTGCCATTGTTTCACGTTAGGCAACTATGTTTGCCACTGTTTCACGTTAGGCAACTATGTTTGCCACTGTTTCACATTAGGCAACTATGTTTGCCACAGTTTCACGAAAGGCAACTTTTAAATACCACGATTTGTGGCACTATAAAGTGGTAGTTAGGTAGATATAACACTGGTCTATATGTGTAAACATTTGTGATAGAGACTTGAACAGTATGGGGAAACGGGTTTTACTTTGACCATCGTGGTTGCTTTAAATACAACTATCTGTGTCAATATAAAGTGGCATTTTGGGAAGATGAACTACCTTTTTAAGCACACATTTCTTTTTAATACTATTACATGTAAAAACATGTACGTTAACGGAATTCCATATGCATTGTTTAGCATCGTGCTGACAACAACCACTCCGAAAAACAGCAAAATTACGCAATTATTCAACATTACGAAATGCCACGCCTGTCCGAAAATGGGCGTCTGCGAGCCATTGGTAT